TTAGTTTCTAAAGCACGTGCTGCTTCATGAATAGAGTCCATGTGCATCTGTTTAAGCAGAGACATGAATCTTAAACACTGAAAGTAAAACCCAATTAAAACTAAAAGTTCACATTTTATTTACCAAACAAACGAACAGATGTGTGCATGTGAACTTCAAGTCTCCATGAAATGAAATATACAATTTCCTAGTTTTAATCCTGTGCCCCTGTGTTAATTGATCATTAATCTTTTGTCATATGCTAAATACTCAGCGAAAAATCTCTATCAGAGCATTTTCTACATCAAAATCTGTGTCTTTCCTCTTTACGTGAAACTGTTTCAAATGTTTGATAACTCATTTTGCACTCAGGGGAGTTTGCAACAGTTTGTCCAATCAAATGGGCAACTAGCTAGTCACACTGGTCATATAAAACCACACTTCATTGTTTGTAGGTTGTCGTACCTAGCAGCAATATGGAGAGAGATAGAATGAGATGTGTGTTTGGATATCAGCGGGCGAAACCTTTGTTTTCATTTTCAAAACTGTGTGGTTGAGGTCTAATTCATTCATCCCTCCCTCATCCTCCTGATCTTATGATGAGAGGGGTGTTTGAGGAGCCGACAATTTGCTCAGCATCGGACTCCGCTGTATCACGTTAAAGACAACACCCCGCCCACTTTCTAACAGTCCCAAATGCAAAAAATTTGATCTCTTCTTGTTACTGTACTCGGCTCAAATAATCGATTTCATGATAAAATACATAGTCTTAAGGCTGCTGTGAAACTGCGCCAACTTAGGGCAACAAAAAAAAGTTGGGTGTGTCGGTACAATGGACAATCAAGAGAGGATGGCAGAAGTACCTGCACACCAATTCCACTGAGCTGGACAGCGACAAAAAAGGTTCACAGGCTGAGTCAAGAACTGAAATGTTTGACGCTGGTTTTATCACTTTTTATTACTTATTTTTTGCACTTTAAGCACTTTTCTTTTTGTGCATGGATGTTTTGAATAAATTGATATCTTTTGGCATCAATCTCAGCCAGTGAACCTTTTTTGTGGCTGTCCAGCTCAGTTGAATCGGTATGTGGGTGTCATTTCTCTTGCCATCCTAACTAGAAAATTCATCACAGCGCAGAAGCTAAAGACGCTCTAACTACCGTTTCAATGGGTCTTCAGTTGTTATGCCTGCTCTTAAATTTACAAAAAGTTTTAGCAATTCACTGTTGAAACCTTTGGGGAAAAAAGAAAATTTAATTTTTGGACCAAAAGTTTTAAAAAGATTTATTGACATTAATACATTACATTAATTAATTAATTAACATTAATAGTACTGATAGTTACGTTGGACCATGTTGTCCCTTCAGACAGGAGGACAGCCAGCCAAACTCTGCAGAGGACTTTGTGCATTTTGTTGTAACATTAATAGTCTTTTACATCTAGGCCAAGTTTTAAACTTGAAAGTGTAATAAAGTAGATTATTTGTAATGAAATAGGAAGTCAGTTTCCCTGGTTTTTATTCCTCAAATATAACCACAACAGTGGCTCCCATCTACACGATTATGGTGTTTCTAAAATATCACAATATAAACCACCAAATACCAGTTTTCATTTTCAGTGGTGGTGCAACTACCTCACAAATTTCTAAAATGCACACACATAAAATAACAGCCTGCAGTTAAACTCCAATATGTCCCTTAGTTTGTGAAAATAACTGTAGGTATGGCGTATTTTGAAGTTATAATAAGAGGAATTGAAGCAACACTGTAACTAGAGAAAAGCTATGATATTTATTTAGAAAGGGCACAGGCACTTTGTATATTCACACCAACACACACACACAGGCACACACACAGACACACATTCCTCCAGACCTGATTCTGTGGCCTAATGGCAGCTGGTGTATCACAGAAGAGGCTTCTGCTCCAGAGGGGATGACACATACGCTCATAGACACACAGGGCGCACACACAGACACGCACACTCTCACGCTCTCACTTACAGACACACACAAGCTGGATTCAGGCGGACTGAGGGCTGCTTTTTATGGCTTCAGAACATTAGGTCACGACCCTGACCAAAAAGCCATAGCTATTATCAGTGTGGGAGTAAGGCCACATTTTCATTGTGTGACAGGTAGACTTCTGATCTGACCTGCTGTGATGTGATGCTTTCAACGTGGTGTCTGTGTGTTTACGAATCAAATATTTTCTCTCTCTCTGTCACGTGGACTGCACTTTGAGTCATAAGCATGTTTGTCCCTGCGCTGGGAACTCAAGCACATATAGTATCCGTTAGTCCAGGGATGCGTTTTTGTGTGTGACTGTGTGTGTGTTTTTGCAGTGCAGCGGTCCACTCAGCCTCTGTCGTTAGGGTGGTGATCCAATGATGGAAGCTCGCGTGTCCCTTTTTTGACCCTTGCAGAGCTGTGCCCCCACCCCCACCCTCACCCCTCCGCCCTCCCGTCTCTCTCCTCCTCTGCTCTGCCCCTCCATCAGCCTCTCCTAGGTTACTCTTGGCCAACTCTGGCCACCTGATTAAAGGATTAGTGGGGCTGATGGTTGTCAGTGTCCCCCACATGCTGGCTACACCTGGACCCTAGGGAGGCGGCGAGGGGGAGTTTACACTTTAATTCGCCCACGTAAACACAGTAGCATGCATACTGATTCAGTGGATACTCTTGCATGTTTCACACGTGCACACCATGTACTGCAGGACCCGTCTTGGTGTCTCACACTGGCCTCGTTCAGCAGAGGAGTGGAGAATGTGAGGGGAGGGGGGTGGCAGGGTTAGCGCAGGGTTACTGCCTTGTATCTCCCTCCCTCCCTACTCTTTCTCCAGCTCTCCTAACCTCCCCCCCTGCCCCTCCCACTGCTCCCGATGCCCTGCCAAATTCATATATCCCATAATCGTGCTGAGTCGCCATGTCAGCAGCACTGTATCAACCCCACTGCTTTGTCTTGCTCCTGCTTGTCACCACACCGAGACACTGCCTTCCCTGCAGTCAAAGATCAGATGTGTGTGATGCACAGATGCTAACAGATGTACCAGTGAGTTTATTTATTCCAAATCATACAACTGCACAGTGTATACTCACTATAGCCTCAAGTAGGCCTACATTTAATCTAGTAAATTTAGCCACAGAGGCCATTAGAGAACCAATTTCTTACAGTGGAATAGCTCCGCATTAAGAAAATATAGCCTGCACACAGTTTCCCTTTAATAGTTTCCAATATTTTTTTATGGCGGCCTATAGTCTTTTGTTTAATATCCACAGAGAGGAGAGTCAGTGTTTGATTCTGCAGATCGGCTCGGGACATTCCTAACAGATGCCATCTCGACTATTTTTAGCCCTCTCACTTCGCCTCACCTCTCGAACTTGTATGAGAAGTGAGTCAACAGCTGTTTTCACCCTTTCAGGCCATTGTTCGTGTGCTGGAAAACCACTGTCAATCAGAGCCTCTTCTATCCAAACACCCCTGGTTATTCTAAACATAGATTCATCCCGTCTTCGTTAACATTCATAGTGTTTTGATGTCTTTCCTGTTTGCTTCAGTGAACCTACATGAGCTGCTGGAGCCCTCCCCGAGCGACTGTGTGACCTCCTGGTGGCCTCTTGCCCTAATAATTACACAGCTAGATGCTAACCGGCTCAGCTCGGCTTTGGCTGCAATGTTTTGGCTGTTATTTGGATTTCCCCCTTTTGGTTTTATTTCTATCTTTACAACTTCTTTAAACATGTATGCTGGATAAATTATTTACCTGTACATTTGGGTGAAAGTCAGCAAGTGTTTATCTAATGTTGTATGTCTTTACCTAAAAATTTTTATACTTCTCAAGTCTGCAAATCTTCATGAAAAAATTTAAGTTATCCTCTGACTCATTCGATATGTAGGGCATTTACAGCAGAGGGATCCCTCCTCTGTTGCTTTTTAGGAGTGTTAATGTTTTTTTTTGTTTGTGTGTGTGTGTGGATTTTTTTCCATGTGGAGTCTACAACCATAGACCACGTGTCATATATCTTACTGAGTGTAGAGCCTCTTGAGGCAGATGTGGGACGCGTGAATTTGGGCTGTATGAACACATCAAAAAAACACATCGCATAAGGCCTTAATTTGGTATGCAGGTACACTATATTGTTACATTTTCATGTATTTTGACATGTAAATCAAAGTATGCAACACAAATACTAGCATATTCATTTTTTTTAGATTATTTTTGGGGGGCTTTTGCCTTTATTTGATAGGACAGATACAGCATTAAGGTGGCAGAGATAGAGGGAGTATGACATGCAGCAAAGGGCTGTTGGTTGCAATCAAACCCACAGCCGCTACAGCAAGGACACAGCCTTTGTACATGAGACACCTGCTCTACCAGGTGAGTTAGTGGGGGCGTGTTTAGGATTGTCACTAAGCTGTTTGTTCCTCTGTTTCTGTGTATAATGTTGATTGTTAACTTTTTGATGTTTGGTATTGATGTCTTCCTACTGCACGTGGGTAATGTGTGCAAACTCACAGCCACTCCTACTTAAGATGGCTTCTCTTTGTTACAAAACTGTTTGCCTGATGAAGAGCTAGTCACTGAAATGTTGCAGCAGCATTAAAATCATTATTTTTGCAAGTTAGACAGTGTGCGGGAGTTCTTTTTCGAGCTAGTGAGTGCCCCAGAATATTCATTTTCATTAGCAGCACTGTAAACAGCTTAGTGAGAATATTGTCTTTTTCAGAGTAAGGGCAAAAGCTGGAATATATTGTGTATGAAAACTTGGTCAGAACTAGGCAAATAGTGCTTTACAAGTAAAAGTCCTGCATTCAAAATCCTACCTCAGTCAAGGGTAATGCATTGCATCACATTACACAGGTTTCTGTTTTTGCTGGTTAGTGTATAATCCTTAAACTGGTCACAGTAACCCAGATTCTTTAAATGAAACAAAAACGTGTTTACCCTTAGATAATGTATAACGGTTGAATCTCCTCAGAGTCTAACCAGTAAATCTTCTCTTGTTCAATTATCTGCTGCAGAGAACAACAAAGATCAGTACCAGAAGGTGAAGGTAAAGGCAGAGCCCATGGAGGTGGACCCACCCCCTGCAGAACTCACCCCACCTGCCTCTCACCTGCTGGCCTTCAGCACTTTAGGGGCGAGTGAGAAGACTGAGCCAATGAGTAACCTCCCCGAGACGTTGGCCCGCCCCCAGAAAGACCTCTTCTCCCAGGACATATCGGTCAAAATGGCCTCCGAACTACTGTTCAAATTGTCAGGTATGTTCCTTCAAGACATGCACGCTGTCAGGCACACGCCGCTCTCCGAGGGATGGTAGATCCACACATACATGCACAGTAACATGTCTTCTTTTCCCCCGCAGCGCCGCAGTGTAAACCTTGGACAGTTTTTTGATACTCGACCATAAAACCTACATGTTTCCATTTCCATCCCCTGGTGGCTCTCTTGTAAAGTCGAGGATATATGACATGTAATGACATCCTGCTTTTTACCTGCGCGGCCATGAAAGTGACATTGAAGCTGCAGACAGCTGTTTGTATTGCTAGATTAAGACAGAGCTTTGAGGTGGAACCATCGCCCCCTCAGGGAGAAGGTGCAGATGTGTGTGTGTGTGTGTGTGTGTGTGCACGTGTGGGGTCAGGCTTGTAGTCCTGGGCTGTGACCTCGGCTCTATCCAGCCTCTGATTGCTTCGCTGAAATGCCATATAGTGAAACAAGCTCGTGTAAAATCTTTTTCCTCGTCTTGCTCTCACACATATTCACAAATTCACACATTGGCAGTCTTTCTTTCCCACACAGTCTTGCATGCACACCTTTACACACTCACACAAGGCCCCATGGGGAGTGGTGTCTGCACAAATGCCCCCTCTTCCCTCCTCCCTCTCCTCCTTTCTCTCATTCTCTCTCCCTCTCCCTCCCTCTCTCTCCCTTGACTCGTTTTCAGACATGCCGGCTCAAGCACACTTGGCTGCACACGCTCGCCCCCTGCACTTCCCCTCCCTCGCTTCTTCCCTCCTCCCTTTACATTTCTCCCGTGCGGCATCTCCATGGCAACGTGGAAAGAGACCTCTGTCCTTGGCGAGCAGTGTGACGGAGTGGGGTGTTTAGGGGTGGGGGTGGGGGGTTGTAGCGGGGGGCAGAGGATAAGGAGGGTAGAGAGGGCAGCAGGGGTACACAGTATGCCCACCCAGGGAGGCCAGGGCATCGCTAGCCTGGCAACAGCGACAACCGCCCCCTTAGAACTGGGTTTGAATGTGAGGGGGACTGGAACAGAGTGGGCTGCTGTCACACAATGAGCAATCAATATGAATTACCCAGAGCAGTAGGACCTCAGAGACACATCAGTAGCAAGGTCGCTCTGAACACTGAGATGGTTGCAGCTTTGAAATTCACTTCAGTGCATCGCCTTGAAACTTACACATATGGCTCCATTCTCAGGCATTTTGTATAGCACTCTTTACAGCTGAATACAGAAACCCATACACTATGCTCACAGCAGCTGGCCAAGTAGCGGTATTAGAGCTGATTTTACAATTCTCACTTTACTTACCACTTAGAAACCTCTTAAAATCGTTTGTATTTAAGACTCAGCCGCTCTGTGAGAAACCAGAAATGGCTGCTACTTTACAAGTATTCAGATCATGAGCTGCAAGCATGTCGGACCTGAAGTGACTCACTCTGAAGAAGCACTCCAAATATCTGGTGTATTGCGGTGGACTTTGATGCCCTCTGCTTGTGTCACTACAGGTGCATGCAACAGTATTTAAATTATTCTTGAACAGAGTTGTCTTAGTGCATGATCATGAACAGGTGTGATCTCAGGTGTGAACACTCCCAAGGCATCAAGGCTTTTTGGAAAACACAAGCAGTTATTGACACTTTTATATTAACGCTTTTATGTTAATCTTTATTGAACAGTGTCCTGCAGCATTTTGTAGTGGAGGCACTGGAAATAAACAAGTGCCACTAGTAATATCAGGACAAACTATTCCATTGAAATATAATATAAGGCTTATTAAAGAAGTATTTCACTGCTGGAAAGACGGTCTCTTCATGAAACGGGGCTGTCTATGCAGGAGAAAGACGCACATACTTTGAAACTGGTGCTACATGACCAGATAAACAGAGAAGAAGGACTGAGGCATTTGCTTTTGCTCAAGAGGTAGAAAACCTACAACTACTAGAATGCACTGTGCCACACCGGACCTATAAAGGTTCCCCCTGGTGGGTGATGTAATGCGAGTTGCCTGTCCGAAAAAAATATGGCGGCTGGCTGGTGACCAGCAATCTTATATGACAGCTAAACAGTGTTTCTGATAACATTTTAGGTGAGAAATAGGCATCAACTACTTAGTTTACTGTTTATTTTAACTGATTTTATTGCATTTTTCAGGCAATCTGTACAAAAGGAACACAGCACATGGGCAAACAGTAATAAAAAGTACAAGTAGGAGAGGTAAAGCCAGACATAGGTAACTCAAAGCAATGTTAAGATCAATAATAACAGTAAAATAGATAAATCAGAGAAAATCAACTGAACTAAATTAAATAATAATTGAATAAGTTGATAACTGAATATAAACTAAATCAAGGGGGTGGGGTTGAAGGCCTTATTCAGTCAACCTGGCACATGGAAGGTTGTTAAAGTAGTCCAGGAAGGGCTGCCATGCCTTGTAGTATTTTTTAATAGAGCCCTGATTGCGATATCTCAGCTCTTGTAGCTTTAGGTGTGCCGTCACCTCTCTGACCCAACAGGCATGTGAAGGTGGAGCTTAGCTTACTGTTCCTATATCATACCTGTACTCTTTGTGTCTGTGGTGGCGGGTATATAAAAATAGGGAAGAACAATCTGTAGTTTGAGCAGCAGCCCAAGTGGCATGTCATCTGGCGGGAGATCTTGGTGCTGGCAAGATGGTGACAAGTTCACCATAGTTCATTCACACATACTACCTGTATCATGATACAAGGCTGGTTGAATACCGGCAAAACCTCCCTTTAAGCGTCAGGAGATGTCGAATTCAGTTGATCGATCACATTAAGATTATTCTCAGCAGCACGTTGTTATGTCAGGAAATAAAAAGCCTTTGAGTTTTTACTAGTTGGGAAAAGTAGAGAGGAAAAGTGCAGCTAGTTAGAACCAGGTGCTGATGTGTGAGAAAATCTCTGCATTGCAGGTCAGACACAGGTTAGGTTGATAATCACCAGCTGGAAACACATTTCGCTTTTATTCCTCCTAAAGTAGCACCATGAGATATATGAATATTTCGTCCTGATAAATGGCTTTCAACAGACTTTTCCTGCGTGTCCAAAGGTGGTGGATATTATTGTACACTGGGTACTTTTCTGTTAGGTAGATCTGTACACTATAATGCAATCTAATAAGACATTCTTAGAATAAATCCAAACTTTCTCAAGTTTATTATCTTAACTGTGTTTTGACATTATGTTAGCGGTGTTGTTTTAACTCTTGGCGCTTCTTGAGGCTGCTGTCAGTGGATTTATATTGAACACTATAGTGTTGAGAGGTGTTTGTAATGTTTTTGTTTTACCATCTACACACACACACACACACACACACACACACACACACACACACACACACACACACACACACACACACACACACGCCATCTGGGTTGTCTGATCTGACCATTCATGCACATTGTTACTTTTCAAAAATCTTCTCATATTGGTGTTCCTGGGCTAACTCTCGGCCCACAGGTCGGCGGGCCCACCAGAGAGACTCCCACTACTCCAGATGGCCAGTGCACCCCTGCTGGCATGGCCAACCTGTGCTTTACCAGCCGAGTTAAACTTCAAGGAACCAGGATCATATAGTGTTTGTTTCTCTGCTCTATAATGGGCAATGTGCGGGGAAGCTTTAGGACATTTTTGGCAACCATTTGTTAACAGAATAATTTATAGGGCATCAAGATGCTTCTACATCTACATATCTGTTCTCTACAGTTACTCAGGACTCAGAGTGAAAACATAAAACACTAACTTCTTAATTCAAGGTCCACTTTTCCTGGAGACAACAGCCACGTTTTCATCAGCAGATAGAGTGTGCGTAATTGTCATGGAGACGGCTCAGTTTTCATCGTGTGTCCTAACAATGGAACATCAGTCACTTGATCAATTGCTTGTACATATGAGGTAGATGTAACTCCTGTATCCGTTTACAGATTGTCTATGGGTTGAATAGATGGTGTAATGTTTAACACAAATGGTTAAGTGGAAATATATTAATGTTACTGTACTGACTGGGTTGATATGTTTGTTTGTTTTTCCAGAAAAAGTCAGCAAAGCCAACAACCACAAAGACAGTAACATGGTGGGAATAAACAGGTGAGTCAATAATACCCTGTTTGTGTGTTTGCTTCACAATAAGGAAATATCCTGCATTAAATACAGTCTGAATATGTGTTTTATTTAGTAGCTGTATAAACTGTTAGTATTATGCATCATGTTTCAGTCCGTTCCTGGACGAGTGCTTCAGACAATCACCCTTTAACTCGCGCTCCAAGAGCTCTTCCCCCGCAGAAGCCAGCTCCTCTACCAGGGCACCATTCCACGGTAAGACACACACACGCACGCACGCACACACACACACACACACACACACACACACAGGAACATAACTATAGTAGTAGAGGAACAGACATATCACTAGCAGTTTTTTTGTAGGCAGTAGAAGGATGGGCATCAGCTCATATTGTGTTGTTTAAAGATGCAACTATTAGTCAATGAATCGATTAGTCAGTTGACAGAAAATTAATGTGCAACTATTGTGACTATCAATTTAACGTTTTGATCAGTGTTCAAGCTAATATGTGAAACATTTTCTGGTTCCAGCTTCTCAGATGTAAATATTTATTGTTTTTCCTTTGTAATGTAGAACTGTAAATTGGATATCCTCTGGCTCTTGATTGTGCAAAGACATCATCCTGGATCTGATACCCTTTTTTCACCAAAATTAGTGGGTGTATGCAGGTTTTTTAAAAGATGGAAAACCTGTTAAAAATAGGCAGTAGCTGCTTTCTTGTTTCCAGTAGACCAGAGCTGTGTACCCTGGCTCTGCAGTGGATGAGTGTGCCTTTCTGATTTTTTATTTCTGTTGCATCCGATTGACATCACCGCCAGGCTAGTAAACATTAGAAAGCAGCATGGAGGTCACTGAAAATGTAACGGTGTTGTGGCTTAGTGGTTGGAGCAGGCAGCGTGTCACTCTCCCCCCTCATCTGCGTAATCCATTAAAGGTAAAAAAAAAAGCCTGGAAAAAAAAATTCAAAGAAAATGTTACAGTGTTTACTTCTGGTTTTTTTTAAATCTGCCTTACCTATTAAGGGGCCGCACACATGCTGCGTCTTTAATCGCCTGGAAAATGCAAGGTCGGGTGCTGGGCTCTACTTTTGTGCCTATTTTGAGCCAGCTTTCATGAGTGTGGCGGCAGGTTGCGTCTGACGTTGCTAAGCAGCCTTAACAGTCATATTATCATAACCTATTTACCTCAAATCCTGAGTGCAGAGCTGATCTTATGTGTGTGGGCATATCATCCGTGGGACAGATGTAAAGCTCTGACAGCTCTGCACCAAAATGATCAAGTTGTCTGTATTTATCACAGACTGATTTTTATGGAAGAAGAGAAAGATATCTGTTGGCTGTGATTGGTTGTTGCTCGTCACATGACATGCGGTGCTGTATTCCAAAAGTTAAACTCGGTTTATCTTGGGGCGTGGCTGTTGCATCCTAAAAAATAGGCCTTCAGGAATGCGTTGCTCAGCGTTTGAGAACACCTGCCACGTGGCTACATTAAAAATGATGAATTTGAGGGCACAAAAAACGTGGCACGTGTACGGCTCGAGTCTTTCTCTCAGAATCAGTGACAACTAAATTTGGAATGATTTTCAAGCGCTGCTCAGGCAGACATGGACAGTGTTTTGTGGCGGCCTGTCATTTCATCACACCAGCAAAGGGGCTAAAGTTGGCATGTTCACCCACCTTGACTTTGGATCGGATGCACCTTGAATCACATCCGATTGGAGCTGATAAACGCCCGTGACCACTGCAGAGTCATTTGTCGTAGTAGTAAATGCTGATTGTAACCTTTGCCATTAAATACAAAAGCCAAATGTTAGTGGGTTTTTGTGCAGTGTGAGTAAGAAGTTGTGAATTGCATTTTTTCACTACTTCTTAACACCTCATCGACAAAAACAATTAACCGAGAAAATAATCGTTAGAGTAATCGACAGTAAAAATGATCGTTAGTTGCAGACACAGTGTCTTTATGTTTGTTCACGTTGTTTTACCATTTCTCCAAATAAATAATAGACAGAAAATGATCTGCAGCTGGTCAAGACGCGGACGTAATTAACTGCCAACAGTCAGTACTGTTGCATCATTCATAGCACAGTGTCTTCAAAGACATGTCCAAGTCTTCATGACATTTTCACTGTAGCTCGTAGCAATAATTGTATATGCAGAGATGCTCATTATGCACATGCTGTACACATACATATGCATACATTTACAGACACTCCTTGCACACATACACTCTCACACAGGTGCTTTGTAGCTTGGCGAGTTACTCAACATCCAGTTACACATGAAGACACCTTTAAATCTTAGTATACAGCCACAAGGACACATCTCAATTAACCACCTCCAACTTAACATGATCTCACCCTCCTCTCTGGTAAACCCCCTCTCCCCGTTTCATTTTTAGAGCTCCATGCGGCCTTTCTGCACTCTCACGCATTTCCCAACCCGGAGGCCTCTGCCCAGGGCATCCCCCGTCTCCCTCTCCTCCCCTCTTCCCTGGCATCCCAGAACTTCCCTCCATGTTCCTTTGGCAGTGAGAGATCCAGAGGTTAATTAGCTTGTGCCAGCTTTGCCTGTCCCTCTGCCAGTTAATGAAAATCTGATTGGCTTCTGGGTGTCAAGAGTGTCCTGAAAGTTAATTCGCCCAGACCACCTCCCCTTTCCCTTGTGTGTTTAAGCTTCAGATCCAGCCTCTGCTGCTCGCTCTTTTACTGTTTTACTCTTTTCACTGTATGCCTCTCTACGCCTGCTCTTTTTCTTTTGTCTATCTGCATTTTGGTTTCTGTCAGTTTTGTCACCCTGCTGTTCTAAATATTGGTGAGCGTTTGAAGTTGCAGCTGTAGGAAGGCAGATCTTCAATCAAACAGATTTTCTGTATAGTGGATGGTGAACTTAATTGTCCTTTCCTGTTAGTTCATGCCACCTTTCCAAAACAACAACATAAAGAGACTCATTGGTTTCGCTAAGTTTATTGTGGTATTATTAATTTAGATCCTAAAATGATGTGTGAGCAAAAACTGTATGAAATTATAGACGTAGCCACCGTGACTCCTGTTTTAAAGCCTCCAGTTCAGCATTTTAACCATTACCATCTTGGTTTCTTGGAGGCAGAAGTGACCATATTTGACTCACAGACTGTGATGATGCCTCGTAGGCTGTAAACATGTTTATTTCTGCTATAAAGTTGAGCATTTTAACCTGGGTGTCTATTGGGATTGACTCACTTTTGTAGCCAGCCTCAACAGGGTATTAGAGGAACTGCAGTTTTTGGCACTTTCACGCTGGCGTCTTTTTTTTAGCGCTTGTAGTTTCCACTTGTTGGTGAGCAATGAGTGACAATTGACTGTTGTGTTAGAGTCTCAGAACCCATCGGCTATCGTTTGACAATAATAAAGCCTCTAGAGGCGACAGACAATATTTCAGGCTGATCCGGTGCAGAGAGCAGATACCCAGGGTGAGACTTCTTCTTCTGTGTGCTGGTCATTTCAACTTATCTTCATAAACAGATATCTGAATAACAAATATAAAGTTAAACTTTTAACTATGACTGATGGTTTCCAAGATTGCATTTCAGCCAATGTGTACTGCCTCTCCACATGGACTGTTTACCTGCCCTTCAAACACGAGTGGTCAAAACAACATGGACGACAAACAGAAACCAGAACACGTCCAATACCAAAATCTTGCCCCATTGCCCACATACTCAGCATACAGATATCGGTTTATAGAGATTAGCTGTCGTTATTTTGTCTTGAAACTTGCCGTGTATTTAAGAAAAGCTGACATCATTATTGCAGATATTTTAATAATGTATTTGACAATGTACCTGTTTTTTTCTAGAATGCAAAATAGTTATTTTTATTTATATTATTATAGTCAAGTTATGATTAAACACCAGGAGATAAGGGTTGTAGTTTTATACGCTCATAGACGATTATGTTCATTCCACAACTATTTATCTGTGAGCTACATAATTGGCAACCACCCTTAATAGTATTTCTGAGACATAAAAAATGTTAATTTTAATGGCTGCTAATGGTGCATGAGGCCAAAACCTTACCTCTCCAATTATCATTTGTGTTTCAGTTACCTTGTATTACGTTGAATTTATGAAGAAATTTTGTTTTTTCTGCATACCTCCAATGAACCCAGAATCCAAAAACTGGGGAAATTCTTGATGAGTTGACTAAAAGGGGATCCTTTCCCTTTCCTTTCCGACAGGGTACTGAACCAAAAGTGAAGCTTATCTATGGTACACTATCTTTAAAGCCAGACTCCGCTGACAAAAACAGTAATTTATCACTGCCTTGATCTGTTTGTTTGTTTGTTTGTGTTATTGTCTGATTTTGATGTTTTAACAGGTCAGTTTGAATTCAGCAAATTCCCATAATAGCACAAATAAACTAACTATTTGAGGCAGCGATAGACCAGCAACTCCCATGTTCAGAAAGGTAAAATTACTGTTTTTGTCAATGGAGTATGGCTTTGAAGAGAGCACTGATAAGTTTCACTTATTCCTTGTTGGAAAGGGTGGTCTGTTTGAGTAGTACTGAGTATACGACTGGATAAATGAAACTCAGATAACACTGCAAGAGTTGTGTGGGAGTTTGAAATGAGATGTTTTGATATAGTACTGCTGTTAAACACAGACACCTATGCCTTAAATTCATCAAGAATTTCTCCATTTTTGTATTTTTCCATCATGGAGACATGCTGAAAAACACATTTTCTTCATTAATTCAATGTAACATTGGTGATTAATTGATAGACAAATGGTCATTGGGGGGTGATGTATTCCTATAAGCAAGAAACAATAAGTAAGTAGGAGGTAGTGTCTTCTCTCCTCAGTCTGGGGTTTCTTACGATCCTCATTTCTTGTTTGTGTCCCTCTCCCTCTCCCTCCAGCTCTAATAGCACTAATTAAACCATTAACCACTTCAAGGCTCACGCCACACCCTAACCGGCTTAATCATCAGTGTGTTAGCCAGGTCGTGGCCTCCAGCCCTTGCCATCCAGCTTCTCATCACCTTGTGTGACCAGGCCGTCCCCTAGTTTCACTTATGAGTCAGGACAAGTTAATGCCTTTATGTGCTAAGCTTTAACTACAAGGCTCCATAAGAAGGCCTAGGACTCTCAGAATAATACACACACAGACAATAAGTTAGGAGAGAAGCAGTGCAATCAGGCAGCTATACTTGGATATCAGGTCTTTTTGAGAGGCGGGTTGCAGCTAATGCAGGAGGTCAGGATGTCCA